TCTTGATAATATTCGTATTAGCTTCAAATGCTACTTGAAATCTTTTCTATCAGAAATGAGTGTGGAATAATAAAAAAAAAGATGGCTATTTTTTTGCAACATGCAAGAAAGTCTTTATATCTATAAATAAAAAAAATTATTAAATTAAACTTAAAACTTTTTTTGTTCTTAATAAAATTCTTAGATATGCTTTCAAAAAATTTACAATTACAAGAAATTCAATATATTTTAGGATTATTCTTTTTTAGCCACAATAAATCTTAAATAATTGGATTAAAAAGATATCTAATTATAAAAAATATTACAAAGCTATTATAACCATTTTTTGCAATATCTATAAAAAAGATTTATAAATAAAATCTTTAGAAAATAAAAAATAATTATTTATGATTTCTATATGAATAAATTTAGATTTCTTTACTTAAGGTATTTTATATCTTTTAAAAAATTATTTATTTAAAAAAAATTAAGGTTCTTGAATTTAATAAAAAAAAAAAAAAAAAAAAAAAACCTTGTGATTTTTAGATACTAAATAAACATGTATTATAAAAGAAGGAGAGGATTTTAAAAAGAGATTAAAATCTTCATTAGGTGTTGAATAAGATTCTACTTGTAAGGTTCATATTAGAACTAGATAAACTTATTTTTTATCTTAATATTATCTTCTTAAACAACCAAATCCTTTAATTTGTGGTTGCATCATTTCTTTAGACAATATTGAGCATTATGCTTAAATTCTCCATAACATAAGTACAATTGTTTTAGACAATGATAAGTCTTTTTTTGTTTAGTAAGGAATTTAAAATATATTATGTCAATTTATAAGTCTATCACTTCCAAATATATGAATCAAGATGATATTATTATTACAATTAAATTATAAAAATATTAAGATCTACTTATACAACTTTTAAATTAAAATTTAAAAAATTAATTGTCATAATTTATAAAACAATTAATTGTCATACTTTATAAAACAATTAATTGCATGACTTAATGTTTTAAAGTTAAGTAAATTTAGCATTAATTTTTTTATCTTATACTATAATCTATAAAAAAATTGATTAATCACTATAACATTATTTCACTTGATATTAGTCATAAGTTGTTAAAATACAAATCTTACTTATTATAACACAAATTATATTATATTTTTTATAAATGGTTCAAAAGTCTACCAAAAAAGCCTCCAAATGATTTATAATTAAATCACATTGTTCAAAAAAAGATAAAAACATGATAAAGTAGAATCTAAAAGTAGTGTTTCAATAAACCCAACTTGTAATCTTAGAATTGAATAGCTTTGAGATTGAAGTTCAATCACCAGTTCTATATGGTTGATGAATCCTTGAAACTTTGATCTTGTATCATTAAACTTCTTATAGTGAAATAATATTATATTTATCATTAAACTCTTATAGTGAAGTAATATAAATTAGTGTAAATGTTGAAGAAACTCCAAGTATTTCTATATCTTCACTTCATGCCAATATCATTATTCTTTGTGTGGATAAATTGAATTGATGTATTGCAAGTATCAATTCTCTCATTTGTTCTTGTATTTGTGTCATTGTATTCTTTGTTTTACTAAGCTTTGTCATGATAAAGCAATACTAAAAACAAATATCTAATATCATTCAAGACAAATAGAAGAAATGATTTAAGAACAATATTAGTTTAGAAGTAGGTAATATAAAACTTCTAATATACTTATGTCTTATCAAGAAAAAGAAATAATCCACTCTTAACTTAAAAAAGCCAAAGCTTTGATATTGTAAGTGCACTCTTATCAATTTGTTAAGAACAAAAATTCAAAGAATATAAATAATTAAGTGAAACATTTCTCAAAGAGAGATGGCAAAAAAGAAACAAGTAAGCTTGTATATTTAAGAAGAAATTAGAATGGCTTTTGCCAAAATTTAGAAAGCTATGAACTCTTGAAACTAAACTAAAATCAAGAAAGAAATTGAAAAGAGTAATGAAAGCCTCACATTTTTCTTCTATAAATACTATCTAACTAAAATTTATATGGCAACATTTTGTAAGACCTCCAATACATATCCAACTTATAGAACAAGTTTTTAATTTATAAGGCATGTTTCTTATATGTATGCCATATGTCCAACTTATACTACAAGTAGCTAATATGTGCAATATATGACCAACTTATTGGCCAAGTTATCAACCTACTAATCACTCACAAACATGTATAATAGAAAATTTGCATCTGTGAAGCTTCTAACAAGCTTTTTCACAAGATATTATTAAACTTATTAAGTTTTATTTATTTCTATAAACTTATATTATTTAAATAATTATTAGGATAAATATGTATGTTTATGACAAATAGCTATGTCAACATAATGTTTAGAAATTGAATTAAATTCAATTTTATGAAAATCAATTCATAACTTAAAAAATCAACCAAATTGTAATGATATTAGGAAAATATTTTGATTTAATATATTTTTTATGTATATAAATATTTTAATAATTTATAGTTTAAAAAATTAATAAAAAAATAAAAATAAAAATAAAATAAATAATATTTTCTATAAAATTTACTAAGAAGGATTTTTATATAAATTATTATATTTATTTTATTTTAATAAAAAAATTTATTATATAATAATTTAAATATTTTTTTTTTAATAAAATATATCTATACTTTGACATTTATTAGATTTATATTGTAGCTAAAACTTTACAAAGGTATCACTATTGAAGTTTTTAAACAAAGGATTCTAAACAAAATATATATATATATTTATATATATATATATATATATATATATTAAAGAAGTAAAAATAATATTAAAAGATTATGTTTGTAATTTTATTTATATGAATTTTATATAATAAAAATCTTAATATATGTATATATAAATGAATATTTTATTTTTAAAATTTATAAATAGTTTTTAATATTTTAATATTTAATATTTATTATATAGACTTTTAATAAATCTTTATTCAAATATATATCCATAAATAAAATTATATATTATATTAGAGTCAAAAATATAATTTAAATGTTTTTAAATATTAAAAAATATATTGTAAAATTATAGCTATATTCAATACAATCTTAATATAGTTCATTGATTTTATTTAATTTTAAATCATATAGAAGACTCTTGGATAATTACACTAGCTTCTAATTTTAAAAATTTAACCTAATACTCTTGTCATAAATAATAAAAACTTTATGAGACAAATTTTAAAACTAAGTAAATTTAAAAATTTGATAAAATTATTTATGAACAATTAAAAAGTTATTACCATAACATGCAAAATCTTATAACTTGTAAATATAACAAATCTCAAAGAAAGAATTGACAAAGCCAATGATGGGCTTACTCTTCTGATTATGTATATAATTTGTAGGACTAGAAGCTTTTGGTCCAAACTTTTAGTATCTTCTTATGTAACCTCTTTGAATTGGATTCTTAGCAAAACTTTTTAGCAATAGTTTCCAATTAGTCCCAGCTAGTAATATATATATATATATATATATATATATATATATATAAAAGATTCTAAAAAAAAAAATTCTTAAATTTCTTGCTAGAAGTTTTTAAAACGATTTTTGGATAATTTGAGACAAACTATTTCTAAGTTTTTGTTTATGACACATTGTATGTAATTTATAACAAACTCTATATAAAAATATTAATGAATATGCAAATATAAACTATCAGATTAAGAAATAAAATATATATATATATATATATATATATATATATATATATATATGTATATATATTTTTTCTAAAATTTCTTATCAAAACTATTAAATCATATAAGTAAAGAATTATAATCAATAAAATATCACTTAATATAAGATTTTTTTTCGCCTTGCATAAATTCCAAATTGATCCCAAAGCTATTTAAAATTATTTTAATCTTTATAAAAAAACAAAATTACAAATTGTTTTTTTTCTTTTGTATAGTTTAGAATATGCAAAGACACATATTTATGTATGTAGAATGTTTTGCATAGAAAGCCTATTTTTTAAATTATATAATACAATTTCTAAAAATATCACCATTCAAATTTTAATAAAGTCCTATTGATGGTGATTTGTGACATGTACAAAAATATTATTAAAAATCTAACAAAAAAAAAAGAAAAAAAAGAAACATTTCCTTCTTTTTTTGATGTTATCAAACTTTAGTTTTGAAATGATTAATAAAATAAATAAAATTTTCTTTTGAAGAAGAGAAAACTACGTTTATTTATTATTTTTCAAAATTTACATTTATTATTTTTTTTGGTAAAAAATACTCTTTATTTTAAGAAAAACACCTCAAATAAGTTTTAACAATTTTTACAAAATCTTGGCCCTTTAATCCAATTAAATAAATAAATTTATGATCCATATATGTATTTAATAATTTAAAATATTCTTAAAATAACACGTCATTTCAGATAATAGAATCTTAGGTTATTTACAAATAATTTTTATAGTGAATCATATAATGAGTTTCAGAAGGAATTTATGGCTAAAAATCTGCTTTAAAAGGCTATGATTTGAAAGTCTTTTGAAGGTCCTTTGCTTGATGAAGAGAAATTCTTTCTGAAAACCTTGGCTTATGGACATAATACAAAGTAAGAAGATACCACAAAATAAATCAAATTATTCTTTTGTTACAAGTCTAAATATATTAGTTTATATCTTATTTCAAAATATTATGAATAGTAAAAATAAACTTACTTTTCGACTTCTATGTGGATTTCTTACACAATTGTGACATAGCTTTTAAATTGTTTCCAAAAACAACTTGTTCAGATGGGTTCAACAAAAAATTTAAGAGACAACACTATTCATAACATGTAAAAAGAAGTGCACTTTGCCTCTTCTTCTCTTTTTAGAAAATTTAAATTAATTTTTTAAAATACTAAGCTAGGGGCTTCTCAATTTCAACCAATCAATTTTTGTAAACAATTTACATTTAGGGGGATTAAGATGAGAGGTCACACGCCCTACACACCGTCCTCAAGTTCGAAGGGCAAAAGATTCCACTCACTCTGTGGAGCCCCTTTTTCATTGCAAAGAACAAGGATTCATAAAAAAATTTAGCATATCCAGTTTGGAAGTAAAAGAAGCCAAAAAGGTCCTACAAATTGATTGGACGGATAACCAAGCCTGGACACGGCTCAACCAAGCACAACTTTTGAGAGAGACCCGCTTTGCCAAGCTAGAAGCCACCAAGAACTCGACGGCAGCAAAATGGTCTTGTGTAGGCAACAGGTGATCGAAGGAGTTATTTAAATTCCACAGAGATAAGAACAAGCAAGCGAATATCCACGAACTAATAGACGGAGGCCGTAACCTCACAACCTAAACAAAAATCTCTATCCACGTACACCACTATTACAAAACCCTGTACACCAATGATCCGGAGGTGGAGAGCAATCAACAAGACCTAGACAAATATCTGAACAACGTCCCCACCAAGGTCACGCTCGAACAAAACAACAACCTCACTACGATAATCACACCAGCAAAAGTCCACCAGGCAACCAAGGATCTCCACAAATATTAAGCAGCGGGAGAGGACACAATCCCGATAGAGTTCTTGACCAAAATGTGAGACAATTGAAAGCGACCTCACGGATGGCCTCAACGAAGCATTTTGAAACGACCACTTATACGACATTCTCAACTTGGGTCTCATCAGCCTGATATCCAAAGGAGGAGCAACCACCAACATCCGCAAGTATTGGACCATCACAACGCTCTCTTCGACGTACAGAATGGCAGCAAAGACACTTACCAATCGCCTCCAATCGGTCCTCTCGAGTTGTATTCGACCCACCCAAACGGGCTTTGTCAAAGATCGCTACATTTTAGACAATGTCCTACAAACCTATGAATCCATCCACTAGACCAAAGAAAGCAACCAGGATTTAGTGATCCCCCTTTTGGATTTTGAGAAAGCTTACGACAGAGTTAACTGGACATTCCTTCAACAAATAATGCATAAGCTGGGATTTTGGAGGAATGGATAAAGTGGACCGCAACACTCTACAAAGGCGAACAATCCGCAATCTTGGTAAACGGACACAAGAGCGACAAATTCACAATTAAACGGTCGGTGCGCTAGGACTATCCCCACACCCTACCTATACTTGTTTATATTGGACGTGTTATCCTACATGATAAACGACCCGAACTATGACATCAAGGAATTACGCTTACCAAACGGCGCCACGGTGAGGGATCAATGTTTTGCGGACGACACAACGTTGTACCTCTGGGACACCCCCAAGAACCTTCAACGCTCATTCGAAGTACTGGAGTTGATTTGCTCCACTTCTGGCTTCCTTATCAATTCGAACAATACAAGTGCCTTCTAGATCAGTAACAGCCCCAGGTAGTGGCAATGGGGCAAGGACAAAGGCCTCGTGTGGCTGACCACAGGCACATTCACAAAGTACTTGGGGTTTCTGTTTGGCGATACATTGTCTTGAGAAACTAAACGCACGCCTCTCATACAACAAATCAAAAAAAAGCTCGCGAAGTGGACGAACCGACGACTCTCGCTCCCAACTAGAGTCTTCATTTCCAACCAAGTGATCCTTGGGAGCATCTAGTATTTGGCGTCATGTAGCAACGTTCAGTAGGGAGTTCTCCTTATGCGGAAAAACTCCGCCAACCTCCATACCTCAATGGAGAAATCTACGAGGAAGATGGCAGGAGCCTAAACACCGAACCCAACTCAAGGTTCCGAAACTGGTCAACCAAAGGGACCCTCCGAGTCGGGAACTTGTAGGATCAAACACGACTACGCTTTGTCCCCGACTAGGAACTACGACGCAAGACCAAATCGCGTTCTATTGACACAATATCTACCCAAGCAAGGGATGCCATTGGATGGGACTTAAACCAAACAACCCACCGAGCATAGCAGACTGGACCACTAAAGGCAGAAATGCCACTGTGTTCCAACTCACCGGACATACCTCCACGAGATGGACTAGTGCGCAATACCAACAAGCAGAGGCTCTTACCTCCTCACAATGACGGCTCCCCACGAGGACGTCCTTCTAGATGCACTCCGAGAAGCCCAAGTGATACCCAAGTGTCCACTAAGAGTTCAACCCAACGGAGGCCTCGCAGCACCCTAGCATAATCTGGATGCAAGTAGAAGGAGAAACCCAGACGTTAGAAAATGACCCGTGAAAGTGGAAATGAAAACGACAATGGATAATAGCAGAGGCCCTCCTATACAACCACATCACAAAAAGGGGGTTCCGCATCATCCTCCAACAACAGTGGCGCCAACTTAGTTTTGACAGAACCTTCCAAACACAAGAATTCTCCCACTCCCAAAGGAAAAAACACTTCGCAAGACTCTGGCACCCCTACCTACCCAAGAAAAAATCAGCAATGGTGTGGCTCTTGATAGCAGAGGGCCACCCCATCGAGGGATGGCAAGCAAAGATCAATCAACCTGGCCATTGTAACTTATTCCCGGGCCAGCAACAAGAGACAACCGAGCATGTCTTCTTCAACTGCCCCAGGTCTCCATCGCATGGACCAAATACGCGACAATTTGCCGAATGGTCAAACCCACGCTGCCTCCCCTCACATGGCCCTCCACAGGCCCTCTTGGCACCAACGACCATCCAAAATTAGCAGGAAGATCCCACACAATGGGACGTAGGAACTCCATGCTCAATCTCCAAGCACACTTCATGGACATCCTCGGATGGTCAATCCTGTGATACACGTGGTGTCAGAAATGCTAACACGACCTCAAGAAAGGCCGCTTTTGCATTGGCATTGCCATGTACAGAGCGTGGCAAGCCACAATACAGGTAGGGATGGGGGCATTAACAGAACTTCAGAAATTCAAGAAACAGAGAGCAACGGATCACCATTCCGCAATGAAAACAAAATTCCTTACCATTTGGACCCAAGCCGACGTCTTCTGCTGGAGACAAACACACCCCAACTGGAAACTCCTCCTCCACCGCGACTTCCTCCCGAGAGAGTTTGCCAACAGACTAAAAACAATCCAGATACAAGACGATCCCCCGACACGCGACGTGGAGGGTCTTAACGCACCTGCCCCTACAGACCAACTGCAGCAACGGTCCACAAACTCCTCCCTGGATCAAACACTATCCGGTGCCTACAGGAGCCCACACCGACCATCGTCAAACGCAAAAATTGACAACCCAGAGGACAAAGATTGCAAGAAACCTCGCCAAAGAAATCCTTGCCAAGATCATGGCCGATCTGGAAAACAATGATCTTCCAACACCTAACTTCGCGAACACCACACAAACGCACCCCCAACCTGACAACAGGACCCCCGGGACACCAGGAGCACGAGCACGTATATCCTCCCCAACAGATGAAGCAAGGTCAACAGCTCCCCACGACCTTGCAAACCACGCCAGTCTGAACATCCAGCGGCAGATTTAGCATAGCGTAGAAAACTCTACACTCTAACACAGACACAAAGGCGGGAAAGACCAGGGAACCCGGGTCCCCCCCTGACCCCCCTCCCGGGATGAAAATTCCAAGATTTTAACATGCAAAGCCTGTCACAATTTAATAATTTTAAATTTCTTTATTAAGCACGGCACATTTCAGCTCATACAACGATTTTATCTGAAGTTTGTATTAAAGCAAATAAGCGGACTGCCATGTCATCCACCCGTCTACATTCGTCAACACTAAAGTTGGGTCGAGAACCTGTTATGAAAACAAGGCAGACACACCAGAGAACGAATACCTGGAAAATTGACTATACTCATGCGTAGGGCAAGTCACACACAAGCCAACAAATAATGAGAATCATTTCCAAGAGTAAATTTACCTACTGAGACATGAAAACTACAAAATGGTATGATGAAGCTGAATATCGTCCTCCCAGTCAATGATACAATCGAAAATGGTTCCCAAGGCTTTGTAACGAGACTCACCCTGTGAGAGTCTCCATGTAATTGAAGCTGCCTAGCAAAAATATGGCTCCACTTTAATATTGTGGAGGCAAAAAGTATGAAGCAACTTTAGTTGTTGAGCAAGCCATCGAACCATGAAGGACACCGCCGATGTAAGCAGTGCCTTTCTGGGAATGTCTCCCTTACACACAGAAATTTCATATCTGTAGTCTTAAGGTAGTTATGACGTACAGGTAACAGAAAAAATGTCATACAATGAAAACCCTTATAGTTTTGAGAGAGGTAGTTATCACCCCGTCCGCTGTCTTTGAGAGCTTCTACTTGATAACTTTTGGTCGTTAAGGATGAACTTTGCACATATCTTCGATGACTTAGCTGTGCAGAATCTTAATCGGTCCATGCCCTCTCTTGTTCAAAGTCGACTCCATCTCTGCAACACTGGGTACTGAGGGACAGAGACTGGCTGTACATATCCTACTTGCAGTACATCAGGTTGCAGTGACTCACCAATGGGTGGAGAAACTTGGCGTAATTGAGGCACATGGCACTCATTTACAGGATATTGAGGGGGAACACGAGATAAGCTAGCTAATAGACCTTTCAGAGGATAACCAGACTTGTCCTGTGATATGAGCTATTCCGAGACGTATATCTTGCGAAATGCCTAGAACCAACATTTATCTTGTTCGTATGGTCCTCTTCCATGAGGTTCGTGCGACAGAGGACCATGAAAGACTGCTGATCTACCTCCACCAGCAGGAAAGTTTTGATATTGGTTGCTGTTACCATCGTACAGGTTACGGATTGAGTGATTATAGGATTACAACCACTCTCTGTTTGCTCTGACTTCCAGTTTCACCAATTGAAGGACCCTGACTTTGTGCGTCTGACTTTGTGTGATCTAGACCTTCAATTGATGAAACTCAGAACACAAGTTTTCAACGCGTAAACAGTAGAGTATGATACATTTAGAAAGTGAGGAGTACTGAGGATTTCAAACAACCATTAGATCATTCCAAAATATGGTAGACCTTACACCTCACAATAAATCACAAAATGTCATATTAGAAGGTCGTCCTAGTTGCCATTCAACCAAGGAGAAGTTTTTCATAAAATCAATCACCCCAGGTGTTTCACTCTGGTTAAGTGACAACTATGACACCTAATGTATCGAATAATTTTTTAACACCAGTGAATGGAAAACATACCGCCTCAGCTGCATCTGTTGCACCTTCTAACCATATGGAACTTTGCCGATTACTCTTGGCCCTCGGCGCCACTCCATCTTCACAACGTATGACGGAAACACATCAAGTCAATTATTAGAACAAAGAGCATAAGGACCGTCGGCTTCTGAAAAAAAACAGACCTAACAAGAGAATAAGTAACAAGCAAGCCACGACCAAAGCAGGATGTTAAATACAACAATCATCTTCACATACAATATGGAAAACTCAGTCTAAAGGGTGAGATGTGCACCTATGGCCATAATCAAAAGCTTCTTAGCTCGGACAATCACAAAGAGGCAATCAACATACTCACTGCAGGTACTAGGTGAAAACTGCACACAACACCACGCTAAAATTTAGAGAGGAGGACCAGATCAATATATATACCTTTATTATAGCAAAACAAGTAAATTGGAATATATAGTATATTTTATATATATCATATTAATATGGATATATAGAAACCAAAGCCAAATTCGGTTAATATATTAAAATAAGTACAAAAATTTCTTTAAAAACATATATCTAACCCAAAAAAAATTATCTTATTGATAGAATTTATTTTGAAAGACCTAGACTTTAAAAAAAATTAATTTTTTTTATATTATTATATTATAATTTTATCTTTACCATTATTTTCTAATTTTTTAGAATAAAATTATCTATTTTCATATATAAGTCAAGTAGTATTTTAAAAAAATTAAGATTATTATTCATAAAAAAAATGATACTATACAACTATTGATGTTTGATGTTTTTACTACAACCATTAGTCAACTCAAATGAAAAAAATAAACTTAATATCATTACCAATTAATTTCTTTTGGTTATAATTACAAGTTAATTTGCTAATACAAGCTTTTCTTTGACAAACTATCTTTCTTAGAAATAATTAATCACTATAGTAAAATAATTTGAATTTATATTCTTGATTAAATTATAGTTATATTATATTAAGTAATTATTTTTTTGAAAAAAGATTCTTTCTTTATTAGATTTTATCTCAAATATATCATTTATTTTTGGTAATTAAACAAATTATCAATTTAACAATAAATATGAATTTTTATTACATAATCATTTGTATTGCATAATAATAAGTTGAAATATAATCATATTCTTAATAATTTTTACTACAACCTATTAACCTTAAATTTAAGGTCCTTCATAAAATTCTAAGTCTATATCAAAATTCATTTCTATTAAGTTGAAGCATTAAGTTTTTATTTTAAATAATATATTCTACCCTCTTATAAAACTTATTGCTCTAATTTAAAACTAATTTTCTATTACTATTTATAATTCTTTTTTTAAATTATTTTTTATTATTTTAGTATTTAAATCCTAAATATTTAGAATCTCAATCAAATCCAAATATTATAAGGTAATATCCTACCTTCTTGAATATGATCTTTTTTTGAAATAACTTTTTTTATTAAAAAAAAATTAAAAAAAACACAACAAGAACATATTTTATTTATGTAAAAATTTATAGAAAAAATAGAATATTTTTTAATTGGATGATGTAAATTATTAATATTCAAGTATATAATTAACTTAACATAAAATCGTATGTAATACTACTTTAATATGGTGATTACAAATAAGAAAAAAATTGATAAAATTAAAATGTCACAACTTAAATAATATAATTTCTTTTTATTAAAATGAAACAAAATTTTATAAAATATATAGATACATATATTGAATACATAACAAGTACTAATTTTTTTAAATAAGTATATAAATTTTAAATTGTAATTTTTTTTGAAAAAATAATTGTATCAAAAATAAAATATAAAATTATTTTTTAATACACATATTATTTTATATGCTGTTTTAAAATAATAAATAAATACATGAAAATAAGCTAACTATTTTGAAGTGATGAATGATTTTTTTTTATAAAAAATGCATATTAAATGTATTGCTAATTAATAGTAGATTTATCTCAAAAAAAATTTCATTGTCCATTTATTATGAATCAATTATTTTAAACTTCTAATATAACAATTAATATCTATTCATTGAATTTTATTTATTTCTATTACATATGTTTATTTTATATTTAAATATATTAAATATTTTCTTAATTATTTTCTTTAAGTTAAGTATATTACATTTCTTATATACATTTAATATAAAATTTAATTTTAATATATCCTTTTTATATGCCAAATGTATTATTTTTTAACTTGTTTAAAAATCTTATTTATAAATATATCTTTTATATAAATATATATATGGATTTTTAAAGCAATACTCGTATGTTATTAATTTAACACTCATCTTAAATTTTTATGATTAATTTACTCTATTTTCAAACAACCTCACTCCACCTCATAAGTTGTGTTTATGAATATATCTCACTATATTGTAATTCAATCATGATGTTCCAAAATGCTATGAATTTGACTATTTTGTATTATCTCCTTTAGCTCATCAACCATGAGTGTAGAGGGGATCTTATCTATTGTGTCCAAGGCACTCCTCAAGAAACATAAGATTGATAAGCAATGGATTGCTACAAAGTCTATAGAACTTGTAGCTACCAAAATCCAAAATGCTAAGAATTGAATACTAATTTTTAAATATGTTTATTAATACTAGATATCAAGGATATAAATCTCAAAGAACCAAAATTTTATTATATTCTTGTGTAACTCAGAAAAAATAGATATTTATTTAATTCTTATATAATATTGAAACAAGACAAAGAACTAGAGAGGCATTGACAAGAATTAAGAAGACTTCATTCTTACCTCTTTATATACTATTTAACTAGGAACAATATTGTCATGTCATAATATGACTATATAGTAAAAAATAAAAATATGAATGTTATTATAGAAGAGTCTAACAAAAAGATATAGTAAAAAAATAAGAATACAAGATAGAATAATAGAATAAATAGAAGTCCTTTTTATAAAAAGACAGCATAAAAATTAAATCTTTTACTACCTTTTATTCTATCTTTTATCTTTTGTGCTTATTGTAGAAGAGCCTAGCAGAAAGATGTTGTAGAAAAATAAGAATAAAAATAAGGATAAAAAATAAAGTCAGACCTTAAGGTACAAAACCACACACCTATAATAAATCTGAGATTATTTGATAGATTAGAAAGTGGGATATGAGAGCAAACTTAAGAAAAAAATTTTAAGCATTGGTTTTATATCAATTAAATCAATATTGAATTTTTGAAGGATTTTCAAAGTTAGTGATGTTCTTGGTTGGTTTAGATTTAAAAAAATAAAAATATTTTTACAAATTTGAGAGTTTATTGAGTTTTGTGGTGTGTATATAGATGAATTTTTGGCAATATA